GGTTTTGAGACTCTTTTCTTGTCATATTTTGAATTATATTTCAACTTGTGAATACACTTGTTATTTATCAAAGTTTGATGCCTTGGAAGTTTCACTAGTTCCAATTTCTTGCTTTTCATCAAAGTCTACATCTAAAGTTTCATAGCTAAATTCCACTCAAGCTAATAACTAGAGAAATGAGCTTTTTATAAGATTTTTTTTATCAAAGATTATCCTCATTTTAAATATCATGATCTTAAAAAATATATGACTTCATAATCCATATTGATTTAACATACTATATGACAACTACTCTAACATTGTGACATTGAGATTTTTGAGGAAATAGTGTTTTTATTGCAGAATATAAATTGTGATGAAATGACAAATATATATACATATATTGTAATTTAAAAATTTCCAAGAAGTATACTACTTGTAATTATCTATATGTAGATCTATTTCCTTGTATTCAGTCCGAATTTCAAATTGAAATTTTTTACTTTTAAAAGTTGTAATAAATACTATGTATCAATAAATAATTCAGAGTTATCTTTCTAGAGGATGAGTTTTGTTTAAAAGTTATCTTCATGACATTATATACATATTGAAAAAATTCTTTGCATTTATGAATTCAACAACAAAGATTTTTTTACGATGCTTGTCTATGACACAAAAATCACAACATTTTAAACAAACTTTATTAATATAAGCTAACAAGCTCATATTGCAAAGTAGTGTATGATACATATTAATCATGTGCACTAGTTTAAACATTCATACATTAGTCATTTCAACTTGAAATTTAATAAAATAAACTTCAGCAAAGTGGCTAATGATCTCCAACATTTATATTATTGTGATTTTTTACTTTGAATATAATTTTATTATGCCTTTTCATTTCAAGCACTTTTTCTCTACAGTTTTATTCCAGATATTTTGAATCTTATATTCCAAGTGGAATGTATGATGGTTCGTTCCCTGTTGATTGTCCTTGCGGAGTTTACAGTCAAATTCGACCAAGCCATTGCTACCTCATCAGGCTCAAATACATAAGATAAGAAGGGATAATAAAAGTAAAAATTGAGATTTTTTCTCATATTAGGTATAAATTTAATTTTAATCAATGTACTTTGAATTCTATCAAACATTTGAATTGTAACAAATTCAATACCTTAAATTATACATGGTCAATCATTCTTCACTAGATTTCAACTATTTGATAATGAAAAAGTACACAAGATTTATGTAATATAAAAATATGATGAAAAGTTAATAATCTAAAAATCATACATAATTCAAAATTTTTGAGTAGTTGCATAGTACATAAATCTAGTATCATATTACATTTTTGAGCAAATTAGCCAATTCAAGATCAAAATTTGAAATCACATTGGTTAAAAAAAAATCATCAATTTTGTACTTCACTTCATAGCACTTCTTGAAATGACCACTTCTATCATAGCTAAACATAGCTAGTATAGTCGTCTAGATTAGGGGATTAATATCCTAAGGCTTCTGCACTGTACACATCTTTTTGAATTACTCAGAAAACTCTAACACATGTTTCCGTCATGGACGTGGCCTACCAAGGGATGAACCACGTTATATCTTGTCTTAATGTTGATGTAACTTGTTTTACTATTATGTTTATTCTCAGAATTTATCCTGTTTATTGGTATCAGAGCTAAATGCGTTTTGTGACACTGTGTGTGGCAAGTCTGTGTCATCTGAGTTGAGAACGAACATTGCTAACGGATTTTTTGCAACTGACAATTTTCTAATGATGATAGTGTTTGGTTGGTTTTTTGGCATGTGTCATGAAGTTTTAAGTTCGAATGGATGTTCAAGTTTGAGTTTGAATCAAAGTTTGAATGTGACAGATTTTTGAGTTTCAGCTCAATTTTTTTCAAAAACAAAGTTGAAGTTCAAAGTCACGAAGTTCAAGGTAGTTCAAGAGTAAGAGTAAGATAAACATCGATGCGCAACGGAGTATTAAAAACTTGCAAACAACGATCAGTTTAGTTTTTCCATAAAATTGTTACTAAAGTTTTCAACAGAGCTTCGAGTTTCTAAATTGTAGGAAGATCGGCATCGAAGCAAAAAAAACAGAGAGATAGTTTGATCATGGTCCAAACGATGCGAGCAAAGTGGAAGGTTCAAAGGTAAACTGTTAAATGTAAATTCGTAGAATCTTGAGTCAAAGCTTTTCTTTTGCTCTCTGGATTTTTTCTTTTGTCTTGAGATAAACAAGTGATGTAAGCCGAACTCGAAAAATCAAATGTATTTGAGGCAATGTAAGGTTGACAAAAGCGAGAGACAAAGATGGAGTTGGGTTGAGTTGACAACGACAATATCAATGATGGCCTCAGACTTGTTAAATCACGCCCGGTTTGAATCTGCTCTTGGTCCTAGGCATAGTAGAGCACCGAGAAACTATAAGTTTGACGTTGTTGTGATTCTTAGGTTGCTCTTAAATGCTATGAAAGTTGTTTTTCTTGAGTATCTTTCGTAGACAGTATTGGATTTGGTCGTACAATTGAGTTAGTATTCGGTGTGAACTAGGTTATATACAATAGAGTGAAGCACATCAACATCAAATATTTTTATTAGACAAGTAATTTTTGATAAAATGATTGAACTAGTCAAGATTGACGGCTAATTCAATCTAGTAGATGCGTTCACCAATGTTATTACTTTAGAGAGTTTCAGACAACACTTTGCTACTATGCATGTTCAGCATGGGAAGCACAAGTAGAGTTTGCTAGCATAATATCTTCAGTAAATTTTTTATACAAGTACTCTATTCTCTATTAGTTATGGTTTAATTCTAGTTAACTTTTGTGTAAAAAGTTGTCTTTTGTTAAATTTCTATCTGAAACTTCCCCCATAGTTATAATACAGGTTACAAAGGTTATAGTTTTCTTAACATGAATTAAGGGGAAGATTGTTGAGGTTAACTTTGGTCAAGGAATAATCTTAGATCGTAGCTAAAAGTAGCTAGGATAATCGCCTAGACTAGAGGGTTAAATTTTCCAAGGCTTCTAACCTATACAGATCTTTTTTAATTGGTCTGAAAAACTCTCGCGGTGTTGCTGTCGTGGATGTAGCCCTACGAAGGGATGAACCAGGTTATATCTTGTCTTATTTTTATGTCATTTGATTTATTGTTATACTGATTCTCAGAATTCATCCTATTAAGTATTAATAAAAACATCATCAAAAGCATTGTGATCTTTAAATGTATGTTCATATTTATTTAGAGAAAAAAAATTATGCTTGAGTAAGACAATTACGTTGAATCTGTTTTTGACAAATTTAACATGCTAGAGTCCAAAATAGTATGAAGTTTTTTGAAACCAATGTGTTTGTTAAATTAATTCTTTTGAAAATATTATCGACATTAAAGTACTATAAAGATTTTGCATAAGTAGCATAAGTAAAGTTTACCAGCAGATTTATAACCTCTATTTATATTTTTTTGTGTATTTTTTTATTAGCTCCAGTTTAAAAAAGAGTCTATGATAGATTTCTTTCGACATTGAATATATAAATTATGAAATTTACAACTCACAACATGAGGTCAAATATGAAAGAGTTAACTAAGATCTTTTGGTTACTCAGAATAGCTAGATTAAGGCTTATATTTAGATTTTAGTAAATCTAAAACCCGCAACCCTAAAGGAGCTAGCAAATACTCTAAGTGAGAAATTTCTTAATGACATTTATTAAAATTTTGAATGGATGTAATGGGCATAAATAAACCATGTATGTTGGCTATGCATGTGCGAGCTGGTTGTGTTTGTGATGTTGTGATGAATTCAAGTTACAACTCAAAACTGTGCAAAAAATTGAAGCTAAAGTTTTTCTATTTTAAGCAAATTTGGATTGATTAGAATTACAAATCTGATAAGATATTAAAATGAATGATATTTATTTCAATTATTCACACTTTGAGTTGATGTATGATGATCTATGTGATATATGGATATAGATTAAGTATATGTACTTGAATTAAATTCTTGAAAAAAAATTTAATTTAAACATTTGTATTGTTTCATTTCATTTGAAATTTGATAGCTTCAAAAGTTATGTATGAAGATTGATGAATCGGTTGGTTCAAATCTGGTTAAATTTTAGTTAATTTGACTATTGTTATTAAACTAGACTAGATTCCAACACATAATTTTATAAAATAATATATATTATCTATGAGATGAATCACATATTTTTTTGTCAACTGTGTATTTCTGTATTTTGATTAGTACAATAGAAGGAGCAGATTTGAATTTATAAGAGTAGTCTTCAAGTTATGAAAGTAGATGAATTTATCATCGACATCAAGTTAAAGAAATTATCAACGAGTAAAATATTGGTTCATATACAACAAGCGACAAATATGCCAAAAAATGATAACAATTTTAAATATTGACTACTCATAATTTGAAATTGACTATGTTTATCTTCTAAATCGAATTATGAGGAGACAATATTTACAACTACTCTGTTTTTTTGGCATATTTTTTACTTGTTGTATACGTACCATTATTTTACACGAGGAAAATTTATTCAACTTCTTTTAACTTGATGCTGACGAGAAGTTATCTCCTTTCATAATCTAGGTTCAGTAATGAGGCGAAATATCTACTGAAACTAATGCTTTGTTCTCATTCAGTTTCCATGGAAAAGATATTTAAGTAGACTTTTGGACCATGACCTGCTATTATACGTCCGTATGCTTGGTTGTCCTCTCCAGAAGTCACCAAAGGAAATGAGATTCAGTGTAGATGTACTCGGCGTTATTTGGCTGCCTCTTAACAGGACAAGCTTTGCATCGCTGAGAAGAAGGTATTGATTAGAAGATGACAGTGAACTAGGTGAAACCTTATCAAGCATAAATTCCAACACAACTTTCTCGACTTTGGCCCGTCAAAAAGAATCCTCTGATCAGCTACCACAAGAAATCGCATATAAAGATATAAAGGAAAGTCTTTGACCAAAGGCGGGGAAACAGAACAAAGGTAGCAATTCAGCCACGAGTGACTAAGTTTCAAATTAAAGCACATGTTCTAAAATCATTTAGAAATTGCTGGAGGAAAGAAAGGACAAGACTAACATCACTGGACTATTGTCCTCGTTAGAAGATTATTTATAATCGATCGTGAGCGAAACCGAGAGCATTTTTGGAAAATGAGAAAGTCATCTGACTGGCTCGTCCCACCTCTCCCGTGAGGCTTGTCCTTTCAATTGTCCATCAACCGAAACTACTTCCTGGAGATTTCAATGCCAACGGAGAAGAGGAGCAGGGTTTGCGAACGTTGCTGGGTCCAGAGTCTGTAGCCTGTATCGATGACGTCTGTCGAGCTTTTGATGTGTACCCGAGTCTTCGCTTTCATGGACAAACATTCCACTCCTCACTTCGTGTCGAGGACATTTTCCAGGCATTGACCGTTGATTCTGAAGCGAGTGTGTGTTACCGTAGTCAGAAGAATCTCTCCCCGGCGAGGAGCTCCTCACGAGCTCGAGAGACGAGGACTGACGAGATGTTTAAGGCAATTTCTGCGAGCATGTTCCGTGGAAGACATTCTCCGAATTGCAGCAGCAGGGACGACCTTGTCTTCGGAATCGTATGCACTCAATTGCTCCGATAATCGTTCGACTGAAACGCACTGTGCACCGTGGCTAGCGGGCGGATCGAAGACTACGGCAGCACTAGGCGGAGTCCGGGAGTTTCCTTTTCAATTTCTATCTGGCTTGGCTTGGCTTAGCTTGGCTTGGCTGCCGTAGCCATCCGACATTGGAGGACTGATTATGTCAGAATGAAGTGCGAAGCAAAGCAAAGCAGCGCGGGGAGTAGAAGATGTAGGAGCGTAGTAGGTGAGCAGGGTGGGAAGACTAGGGTAGAGTTCGACTTGGGTAACGATGGGAGTCGATCTAATCTGGGCGTTGAGAATGGACTTAAACAGGGGCAGGAGTGAGAGATTGGGAGACTCAAGGTGTCCAAACCCAATCTTTCCACATGACGATCAGCTTCGGACCTCGAGAACTTGACACGGACGAAACTAGCTCGGCCTTTTCCCAAACTGAATTCGGAGATTCCGCACAAATGTATTAAATAACCATTTCCCAGGACCAGGCATGGTGAGGTAGCGAGGCGAACATATCCATCTCGGAATCTTCTTTTGGCAGCAACATTTGCGATTCCTCTGCTTACCGAATACAATAATGTGCAGCAGTGCTGAAGAGCATCACAACTCAGATGGGTTGGATACTTCTCAGTACGGCGACATCCAGAGCTGAGTTGTGAGGCTACGTTGACCACGGCCTCGCCGCAACTGCGACTTAGCAAAGGCCTTTTGCCCCTAAAAAAAAAATCCAGTCGGAGGCATCGTCTACTATAATACATAGTATCTCGCCACATATAATACAATCAAAAGGGGATTTTACGTAGTTGGCTCTAGACTGACTGAGACAGAGACCTTGAACGGAATTGTCGGAAAGCAATAATCCCACGGAAGTAGTCGGTGGAAGAGAGGAGACACATTTGACCAGAGACTTGGATTCAAAGCGGACACAAAAGGACTGTACGATAGAGGCGTCGAGCAAATGGTACAACGAGAGTCCGTCAGACGTACCCGGGTTTCAGCTAATGGATCAGGAGGGACCGCCGGCCGGCCACCTGGCAGCAACCTCTAGAAATACATACCTTTTGACCACTACCATGGTTTACAAGAAGCAACGGCGACAGCAAGCGTGTTGCAAAACATGATGAGGGGCAGTAATTTGACTGACGCCGGCCAGGAAAAGAAGAAAGGAGTTGAATGATGGCATGCAGATTCGACATGGAATAACCACCGGCGAAATCACTCGGCAATCACTAAATAACAGAAAAAACAAAACGCTTTCTTCAATCGATGAGACCCATGTAGTGCGGGGGAGAACTGACCACAAGGTCAAACGCTGGTTCGCAATCCACATGAAGTGAGATCCTGCTAGATTTGATTTTATCACAGACCCGACCGGAGGTGCACTGGATGTGATGGTAAAAGGGACGAACCAGCAAATATCACAGAGACAGTGAACAGCCGGCAGTGCAAACCCTCTCCACGAGCGAGCACTGCCACTACTGCACCGAGATTAGAAAACTTATCATTCGGCGTCAAGCAAACGACGACTATTCCCGGCAACTAGACACAGGTACAACTTCTATATAAGCATGCCAACCTTGTCTGCACGACATGGGTAGCATGGGACATGGGTAGCACGGCCTTCCCGGTATAAAACGTGGAGGCCAAGTAGTTAACTGGACCCGCAAAGAGATTCTCTAGGGCTCCTACACGCGTCGCACGGCTCAAGGTAGTCGCTCAAACCTCCTGAGAATCTCATACGGATCACGTTAAGTGCTGAAGAGACAGTTTCTAAATGTTTGGGCAGGATATAAATGCCATGTACCACGACAGCGTAACCACGAAAAAAGACCAGACGCGGTCTAATATAGGCCCTCGTGACAAGCCGTCAGGAATTAATACAGCACCAAGAGCATGATAAGCAAAGCAAAGGACCCCGTTAGAAAAAGAACAAGCACCAGAGCTTTCTTCGATCAGTGAAGCCAACAACCATACTGACTGCGACGCTTCAAGGGCGACAGACAGAAGTGACAAACGAAGTCGCTGTTGATTACTGCACCATAACGTGTCTCCAGAGCCTGCAACGCCACTACAACCACGAGACTGAACACGAAGGGCATGCATGTCCCTTCGGGGCAGGCAAGCATGTGAACAGAGTTGAGAAAACCATGGATCCCACGTTCGGCCCGTGAAGAAATTCAGAATGATTTCTAAACTTCGAGAGTCAGATTTTACTGCGACTCTGCAGATGCGTACATCGAGATGCTTCATAATCTTTCAAACTTCTTGACAGCAACGTGCCACGGATCCATCTAACTGAACTAGAATTTCAAACACATAATCGCAAGTATAGCACGATATGCCTTGCGACTGCGACTGAAGCTTGCTCCCTGCAATAAAGCCTGCGTCCTAGTGTCAAAGAGCACCACTAGCACGGGACAAGGCTACCTCTTCAATGTACTTAAGCCTTGCCATCGAAGTCTCTAAAATTGTCCTAAGACTTCGGGACGCAGCTGCCTTAAGCAATCAGAATATGTATTATTATAGACTCAAATTTGGCTCCAAAACTGAAACAGAGAGACTGCTACCAACCAGATTATCTAAATTCAAATCTTCACAGACCTTGTTCCTTCGTAAAATAGATGCCGGTAAAACAAAAATGAACATCATCTCCTTCTTAGTATATAGTCCTTCCATCACCCTCTGTGATAATCTCCTTAAAACTTGCTCCCCCAGGAATCATAGGCAGAACGTGCTCCTGCACATTGAGATTCGATGGATTATCGTCAGATATTTCTTGAACACGGTTAGAACTCGCCGTTTGTCAAATACAGAGACCAACTCTACACTCAGCTACCTTGGTGTTCTGAACGTTAGCTTCATCCAAAGTCTCGACGTATCTCACATTGATCAGTACAATACAGTACATCCTTAAGTACTGTATTGTAACTACCATACTGTCCATCCCTGACACTCAGACACTATAGGATATTGCTAATGGTTGTGGCATGCCTGAGATCCTCAGAACCTTATACAGCGCAGAAAGATTGATAACCACTCGATTGACAACTTTTGTGTTCATATGATATTCATTGAATGCATGAAGGTACGGCAAATGTCCAGGAGGGATAATCTACACACGGAAGCTGAGTTTGACAAATATAAATACATGATCCTAGAAATGTATTCCGAGTGCTCCCATTGGCATCGAGACGCGACCATATTGTTGGTCAACAAGGTTCATACGATAGAATGCAAGTCGAACAAATGTAGAAAGCATGAGAAATTGCAATTAGGCTAATCTAGATGTTTCGACGGTCATGAAAGTAGGACCAAAGGTTGACAAACACTACATAACTCAGTTAATTGTGTGCAAGGCGGTTTCAACTTTGGGGTTACAATTGGTGCAAGGCGGATATTCAGTAGTTAGTACAAGTGCAACACAGGCTTCAGCTTTAACACTCCGGTACCATAAACGCAAATCACAAGAAAACAATTACATCTTGTGGTTCCGTCACGGTTCATGTAGAACTTGCAGGGAGCCGCGCCTCTGGATGCAAGAAAGGAAGAATACTGAATATCCGCCTTGCACCGAGGGTAACGCCAAAACAGAAAAGTTAAAAGCAGAAACAGTGCACTAACAATAGAACACAAGGAAACCAGTCAAAAAAGCGAAATCAGCTCTACTTCTCTCTTAATTCGGAAAAGAGAAAAGTCGGGATGGACTGCATCTGACAACTAGTTCCATGAGAAAAAAAAATCAGTACATTGAAGAAAGCACTGAAAGAATCCTCATTGCACGTGCGTGCAGTTTGAAAATTAAGGCAACTTGCAAAAGACCCCACACATATCAACAAAACATGGCAAAGAATACATAGCCTAGCATTAGCGTGAAGTGAACGGAACTCTGGAAAAAGGCATGCGTGATATTTCGGAACGGAAGTACTAAGTGAGATGCAGAAAGGGGAAGCAGGCAACATCGAACCCAGGGCTAGAGCACGAATAAGAGATGTATGTAGCAAACAAGTGCATACGCCACTGACGGACCAGAGTGCAATATTGAGGAGGAAGAGGGTGTCTCCGGTAGCCGGTTCGGAGTGACACGGGTGGATTTCTATTGCTTGGGTGGCCAAAGTTAAGCTTCAGCCAAACTTCCGCCAGACTGGTCGTGACTCGTGCCAGTTAGCAGATGTTATGAAAGTGTGGCAAAGGGCTAAGTCCGACGGTCAGTCAGGTCGGTCACTAGTTGAAAGGTTTGGTTCTCATATCCGACAATACGAACCGGGAACCATCAACTATGGCTACCGGAGGGGCATCACTTCATCGACACAAGTCCCCTGTTGCATCGTCAGTGGTTACGAGGGAGAATAAACTTTCTGCACTATAACGAGCAGGGGTCGAAGATCCTGAAAACCCAACAGACCATGGACTCGGTATACATAGATATATTCAATAGGTAACAAGAGCAAACTAACAATTGTCGTATCAGTTGAACAAAAAATTAACCTTTGGACTACATAGTTTCCTAATCAGCCAAGAGACATTAATATAACGCATGGCAACCCTGACATGTCATGGAAAACAACGTAAAGATCATTGAAAGAGGAGAATATACCTGGTGGGGAACTATCACATCCAGTAAATAAGGACCGGGAGTATCTAGCATAGTTTGAATTGCTGCTCTTAGTTCATCCTTCTTCACCACACGCGCATTTGGCACCTGTACAACGGTATCGACCATTAAGATCCTAATGACAAAGAATAGACAGAAAAGTCGATGAAGCTTTGCCCCGGCTGCATTCCAGACTTCCCACGTTCGATACTGGACTTCATTTTCACCCACCACCCTTACCTTGAAACCGTCTGCAACTGTACAGAAGTCGGGGTAGATCTGCTCCTCGTGATCTGGATCACCTAAGTAAGTATGTGCTCTGTTGGCCTGCATCAAAAAATTCAAAAAAAAAATTAATAGCTAGTTGAATCTCCAAAAAAATTTGAATATATGAAACCTCGACAGAAGTTAATCCTTGCGATCAAAACCAACCTCGGTGGAAGCCTACTGATATGCACGAAACTCCTCTTAGGAGATTGAAAGTCACTTCATGATAATTAAGAAGAAATTACTTGAGTGATAGAACAAGATATTGCAAACCCAGGGGTGGTTGAGAAGACAGACAGTAACGTGTATATATATACTCTAACTGAGCTACAGATGGTATTGCAGAAGAGAGAATATTACAAATGAAAGAGGCGAACAAAAGTAGGATATAACCAGAGCACAACATGAATCTCTAACTCAAACCACAACAACGTAGGAGCATTAAGGTGGGGTGACAATGCCAATGATTTAATCATGAATGGACATATCATGTTGTATAACAACATGTACCATAGACCTCTCCTTGGATATGTAACGGAGGATTTTGAGCCAACCAAATATCAAAGACTACACGAGATATCCACCACATCATCGGTGCCCATCATGGCATCGATGTAGCTGGATAAGAGCCAATATCCTTCAATGTAAGCGTGCGGAGAATACACAGATGACGCAAAGATGACTAGCACTACTGAAAGTTAGCAACACATCATTTTTCATGACTTGAACAGAACTTCGGATGATAATTCACCTTGTAGAATCTATCCTCCCATTGTACGACCATTCCTAGATGTTGGTTGTTTAAGATCATGATCTTCACGGGTAACTTCTCCACAAAAATTGTAGCCAACTCCTGCCAAATTCATTGAAAATTTTGCAAAATTCTGTTTAGGTGCAAACAAATACGCGATGATATAAACATAGTAAAACCAAAAGAACACAGATAACAGTGTATAGTTGACTACAACGAATGAAACATCTCGACAGCAAAATCTCTGCTCGGTAGCCATGAGCAGCATGGACTTAACTAGAAACACGACTACGGCACTGCTCATCTCATTTCAAATGCATTGTCATATGTTCTATGTACTTCGACACAGGACAAAACAAAACAATTAGGTCCAGCTACATTCCTAGCTATTTCCGACTATACCTGTACGTTCATCACAAAGCTTCCATCGCCATCGATGTCGATCACAGGAATATCTGGTTGAGTTGCGGCAGCCCCCAAAGCAGAAGGAAGTCCGAATCCCATGGCTCCAAGACCTGATAGAATCATAAGGATGGCAATCAATTAGTTGATGCTAATCAACATACTTCCAATTGATAAAATGAACTAGAGCTTGCAAGAGAAGGAGCAAGTATGTGCAATGTTGCAAAAAACTTAATGTACTGAGTCTTCCACCTCAATTGACATTCCCAGCACTTCCCAACTGCAATCACATAACAAACCCCACAGACGTTGCCTCGTGAAAGAAATAAGAAGCAACACTTCACTATCCAGACTAGGGTAGGGTATTTACAAACCTCCAGATGTCAACCAACGCCGCGGTTCGTTGTACTTGAACCACTGGGCTGCCCACATTTGATGTTGGCCAACACCAGTAGATATGATGGCATTTCCACCAGTGAGTTCGTACAGCGTCTGTATGGCAGATTGAGGAGCAATGGCATCCTCGAATACGGGAAACTTCATTGGCCATTTCTGCTTTTGTTCTTCTAGTTCTGCCACCCAGTTGGAGAAGTCGAAAGTCCTCTTTTGACTCTTCAAGAGGGCATTGATTTCACTTAGCGCAGGTTTCACATCAGCACACATGGACACATGGGGCTGTTTGTTCTTTCCAATTTCAGCAGGGTCAATATCGATATGAACGATGCTGGACCTGCTAGCAAAAGTCTCCAGTTTACCAGTCACTCGATCGTCGAAACGCACTCCAAATGCCAACAACAGATCTGCTTGGTCCACGGCGTAGTTGGCGTAAACAGTTCCATGCATTCCAAGCATTTTCAAACTTAATGGATCAGACTCGGGATACGCTCCCAAACCCATTAAAGTCGATGTGATAGGAATTCCGGTAAGCTCGACAAATTCCCTCAACTCTTCGCTGGCGTGATTGCAACCTCCTCCAGAATACACTACAGGCTTCTTAGAACTAGAAATGAGTCTTATAATCTGCTCGATTAACGTTGGTTCCGGTGGCCGAGGCAGTCGTTGTAAGTAGCCCTTCAGTTGCATTGGCTGAGACCAATCTGGAATAGCCATTTGCTGTTGCACGTCCTTGGGAATATCTACCAAGACTGGGCCCGGCCTACCTGAAGCTGCCAAAAAGAAAGCTTCCCTGATTACGCGAGGGATGTCATCAATGTTCATAACAAGGTAATTGTGCTTGGTGATCGATCTCGTAACCTCCACAATTGGAGTTTCTTGAAAAGCATCGGTACCAATCATCCTTCTGGGTACTTGACCTGCAATGGAAAAGAAACATAGTTAGACGGAAATGAACTAGACGAGGGGGGTTTGAAAGTAGGCAGAATGCAAAATCTCTGTCAAATGATGAGTCGGACCAACAAAGTCGATTGGTCGTCTAAACAAGTTCATGATATTATGGGTATACAAATCTAAAAATTCAATTTATGTGCCACTTCAACGATTATAACACCAATGATCATCGCAATGAGCTCGTTTCAGTTGCATTCTAACACTACGGAGGCTTCAAGAATGATGAGAAATATTACCTGTAATGGCCACTAGTGGCACACTGTCCAAGAGGGCATCAGCGAGCCCGGTAACAAGATTGGTCGCTCCAGGACCGGATGTGGCTATACAAACCCCTACTCGTCCAGACGATTTAGCATAACCTTCAGCAGCGAAAATCTCCCCCTGCTCGTGGCGACAGAGAATGTTGCGGATGCTGCTGGAACGTGTAAGAGCCTGGTGAATCTCCATAGACGCTCCGCCGGGATAAGCGAACACCGTTCTAATCCCTTCTCGCTCAAGAGCCTCCACCAAAATGTCGGCTCCTTTGCGGGGCTCGTCATCCTTGTAGCGAGACTGAAAGTCGGACGGGGTTGGTGCAACGAGTGACTTCCCGCTGCTAAGCCGTGGTCCACTCACATCGACTGCAGACTGGATCTTCTCGCTAACAGCTTGGGCTTTCACTTCCAGTGAACGCTCAGTCTTCCGAGAGGTGTTGTATGCATGTCCCCTCAGAGCGGCTCCCGAGAAGAAACCACTCCTCACCTTTAGCTCTTTAGCTCCCTTGCAACAAGACCTACAATTCAAAGTGTGGCTTGGTGAGCAGGGGTTTGACGTCAATATCATAGCACTCTATGTGCTTTAAACAAGTAGACATTCCAATTACGTTTCACATATGGAAAAAGTAAACAAATGATGAGTAAGTTATTCCCCACATTCCCAAAACCCCAATCAACATCCAAAACACGCAATTGACACTCACCACAGACAAGCGTAAAGCTGAAGGCGTAAACTACTGAGAAGACAATGTCGCACACATGGACAGAGGAAATTGGTCTACTGATCAGACACAGCGCGAGATAGCAATACCTTGCCGATGGCTGCACCTTCTCCAGGCTCGCTATGCTCAAAGGCACAGCTGCGCATCCACTAATTGACGCCATTCTTGTACTCACTAAACTACAACACGAGGTCCTGCAAAAGTCAATGCATGAAAGTTCTCACCCTGCTCAGAAATTGGATACCAAAACAACGCAGATTACACACCTTACGAGCCTAAGTCCCTGCATCGATCACATCTTGACGGAACATACAATCAAAAACATCAGTCGAGAAAATGCAGATCCCTAACACGAAGCCACGCCTTCCGTTCTGAAAGGGCAAAGAACATTCTATGCCATATTCACATCGCACACATACCTCCAATGCGGCACTCCCTTTCTGTCCTTCCCGTTCTCTCGATGAGTGAGTTTGAATCAATGTCAATGCGGCAAGCTAGCTCGGCAGAAATCTCTCCCACACGATCTTCTTCTTCCTCGTCCGCTGCACTGACTGGGCCGAATTCAGGCCTCCGTTTCTAAAGACCAAATTCATGCACTTTTTTGCGGTCTTCTGCATCTGCTACGCTGCCTCCGCGTCATCTCCACCGAATGGATGAGGACCTCTGCGCGCAGCGGCGCCCTGCCGAGAAATTCGCGCCGGTAAACTTTTCCCGGCAACAACTCCTATCAGTTGCCAGTTGACACGTTGGTCTGCTCCCCTCTAAATGTTATTGCAGAGCTCTTGCGTCCCCCCAGTAAACGAACCGGAATGTGTACTGTACCTCGGAAAACGTGCCTGGATTTTGAGGGGCCAAGTGTTCGTAACAGAAGGAAGGGAAGGCACCCTGTTCATCCACAACGAACGGATTCTCTGTCTAATTGTGCCATGATTGACGGATGGAGAAATTGTTCTCCCTCTTTATCCTGGCTAATGTTTTGCAATTGTCTCAGTGGCTCCATCTGCTGGCTCGGATGCTTGGATTTTTATAAAATGCAAAGTCCGTGGAATCGGTGCTCCTCGATTCATTGCCATGTGGGGGGAGGAAGCTTTGCACTATCATGATGCTCTTGAATGAGAACCAGATTCTATCCGATGGAGATCTGAAAAGTGCAGATGCAAAATCCTGAAATTTGTTTTGAGCCTAGATGGGTCTTTTAGGTCTCATGTGAAGGCCACGTTAGATTCGGAATGACGTAGCACAATGTTTTCTCCGTGTCAGATGCAACCTCCCTCCATTTTAAGTAAAGCTCATATCCTTTTGAGAATCTGGAATCTGGAGGACCGAAGGTTGAAAGTTGAAATTTTCTCCGTACTCCTTAAAATAAGTTTGAAAACCTCTTGATTCCTTTCATTTTGGGCCATCATAAGTGTTAGTACGATAAAATTGATCACCGAAATTCGACTCGGAGCCAGGACCTCTTCCATTTTGTGCCTCACTCTTGTTTTCTTACTCTGTCCACCTTCGATCGTTTCAGCTTCCATGTAGAGCCGACTGTAGCTAATGTATGCTGGTCCCATTGTCCGCATATGATGGACCGAACATAGATCATTTTATTTGGCCACTATTGGCGCAGTTCAAATATAATATTTTAAATTGTTGTGGATATGGGCCGTCTGTTCCAAACCAAGCGGATTTTAACCTAACCATGGTCCTGATTGTGACCCTCTGTTGAAAGCCGAAGACCTGGTAGAGAAAGTGTGGTAATGAAAGCTGTCCTTGGTCGTTCTTCCACCGTACTTTTAGAATCCGTACACTACAACGGAGATGTATGATGACTAGACATTTCCAAGATCCGATGACTTAGAACTCACTCAACCCAAAACTTAGGGGCTACTCTAACATTTCGTACTTCTTAGTTGTTAGAAGAGTGGCAACAAGCTCTCCAGTCCGATAGTATATCATAAAACGCCATAGATACTTGCAAAGAATGCATATCACACGATATATTCGAGTCTCTTACAGGAAAATGGAAATTCTACTTAAACTCTTTCATATCCTGCATAATGATATCGAAGGAATAAATGTCGATTAATTGTACACCTCGAAGTCACTTAACATATCTATTTTTCATCACATTTGAACAAATATAATGTGCATTTTCTCATGCTATTACAAGCAAGATGACTTGTCATGCCATTCTAAGACTTTGAATGACATGGAGTACTACTTAGATTCTAAGTTAATATTACTCCAACCATCACAACCGAATGTGTTTTAGAGTCATGGATGTAATTTACTTCAGTTTATTTGTAGACATAGATTATGATTTTATCATACATCATGCCAACGTCAAAGAATGAAGGAGAGGAGAACACGATAAGCATTTTTCGACAACATGGTCATTTCCGTTATCAGTACAACAGCATGAAAAGGTCGAAGATGATGCAAGATACGTGAATTCAAGAGTTTGATTAAAAGCTTGACAATTCAATATTGTATTAGCGCCATTATATTTGACTTTCAGGCTTCATGTGTTTTAGGTTGGATCTTATTACATATTGATTCAACTTACACATCTATCCCTTTCTTCTAAAAGCTATTTGTAGATATGATATGCAAGATATATTCTAAGCATAAATTCAAATGGATTTATATTGTTTTGTTGGATATAAGATGAAAGAGAGATATATGTAAGATCAACAAATTGAGATTATCACGTAGATACGGATTGTGCTAAAGTCAAAATGAACAAAATATACCGAACGGATACAGTTTTTTACACTTAGAGAAATTGACTTTACATAGCACAAGCATGTATTGCTTGGGGGTGCTTATGATGTAGAAAAACGACTCTCATCTTTTGGAGTTGTTAGTTGCAGCTTTTCGACAATTTATCTAACCGTAATGCTCCCCGACCTAAGCGCAGTTTGAACTTTTTTATCCGTTTGGTTTCATTCATGTCTATATTGATGAATCTTCACATCCATCCATTTTCCAATCAAATCAATTTATGAAGTGGATAAATTTTGTAAAAGTACAACAACTTTTAGATTTGAAACAATTTGATATTCATATATTTTTAAAGATAAATGAATACCTATTACTTCTAGTAATACTCTAAACATAGACAAAGATGTTGTAAAAGATCAGAACTCAACTTTTCAGTTGTTCATAATATCAAATTACTATCTAAAATTCATCAAATACAATCACACACCATGTGTATACAATCTAATACATTATATACTTCACTAATTCTACATCCACGGAAACATCTAAAACTATTAATTGAACGATTTTGTGATAATGTTAATGTTGAAGACTAGTTTTTTTTAGAGTGTTTGGTTAACTGGTCTATTTAAAAGAGCTCCGTCAATCATAGTTTATGAATTCTAATTAAAATCTTAACTAAATGTCTTTTGATCAATATCTTGGTGTTTTTAAACTATATTCACTATATGATTGCTCTTCATGAAATTTTCAGAAACTATTCACATAATATTGCTTCTATTCTAAAGTAAACTATGATTAAGTGTAATAATAACATGATACAACAAACTCATATAAAAATGATACAAAATTTGCGATGATTATGATGATTTGTGACCATTGCTTAAAAAACACAATGTATTGGAATTCATGTAATAATACAATATTGATATACAAAACAATAACATTAATTTTATTCTTAACTGTAGTCTCTCAAACTTATCTTATAAAATTTTATCTGTTAACAAATTTTATTTTATTGTAATGTGCTTCATTTTATTATTCATCATTGTATTTGTTGCAGTATAATATGCATTCCTACTATAAGAATGGAGTTTAAAAAACATCATGATTCAATTTTAATATCAAGAGAAGATTATGAAACTAAATTATTATTTTCTCTAAATCTGCTATTATTACAAATAAAATTTATGTAGTTTAGTAGTATTAGCATGTTTGCAAGATGAATATACAATTGAAAGAAGTAAGACAAAAAATTAAGTAAACAAATTTATTAATGATATGTGACATGAAAAAATAACTCAAATAAAAATGTTTACAAAGTTTCAACAAAATATTCATTTTTTATACATATCAGTCTAAGATTCATGAATAAATTTGATATGAATAAATTTCATATAAGCTGCAAAAACCTGAAAAGTTGAAATTTAACAATTTTAACTTGCGAAAAAAACTGATAAACATGAAAAAATGAAACAAAATATTGTAAATCTATATGTTTGTACATTTTGTAGGTTGTTTCATGTACATGCAACAATATTCCGACAAACAATTTTCATACTTTATAGTTAAAAGATTGACATGTTCATATGTAAATTACTTATAACTTGCATTTTACTATGAATGAAAATTAATCAGAACGTAATTAGCATGAATTACCATAAATTTTGATTTGTTATTATAAATTATAAAAAATGTATTATTTTAAGAAAATCTGAAGAGTATTTGTGTTTGTGATATTTTGTTTCATTAGTTCTTAACTTGTTTCATATAAAAGCTCTACTTGTTGTGAAAGTTTCAATGGAATAAAAAATATGTCAAGTTTGACTACAAGCATGTCAAGGAAACATTTGTTTTCTTAGTTTAGAATGAGCTAAGAAAAACCTGCCAAAATAAACAAAAATGAGAATGAAATTGGAGGTTACAGATATTAAATATAGAATAAAACAATCATAGTGACAAATTTTTTATGGATTCAAAGTCCAATATCATTGGCATATTTAACAACAACAGCTCTTAAATTTATTCAACTAGTTATTATTTTCTTTAGATGCGATACTTAAATTGGACAAGTAACCTTTCTCATACTATTGTATAAACTAAATGTTTGTATAGTAATTTTGATGGATATAACACTAATTGGTAACTTTAAAAAATATGCAAAATATTTATTTTTTCACATAAATTCATTTATTGTTAAAGATTTATAACAATTCAACCAAAATTATCTTATAAGAACCTTAACAAGAATCACATAACCTAACACAAAGTTGGTAATGTTCACATCATATGCAATTTGACATCACTTTAAACTCTTTAAGTTTCTTATTTTCATACATGTAAATATTTGATTTAAAAAAAAATCTAATGCTTATAGTAATATTTTACAAAAAATATTTAATTGCTTATATATAGTAATCCAAATATTTAAGACAAAAATTTATACTTATTAAATAATATTTCCTTGAAAAAAAAGAATTTTGTACATGATAGCATTCATAATCATAAAGATACAAATCTTTTAAAACATTTGAAAAATATTTAATTAATTTATTTGAAAAATATTTAATTAATTTATTTGAATAATATTTAATTAATTTATTTGAATAATATTCAATAAATTAATATTGAATTATAATACTTAAAATATACAATAAAAGCAATAAAATCTTATAATTTCTAGGTTTAAACAATTAACTGAATGATTGAAAAAATTTGTATATGATTGCCAAATAAAGTTTGAAAACTATGGACCAAATTTCATATTTTTTTATCAAATAAATGTAATCACGTAAAATGTTCATATTTTACAAAAATAATAACATAAAATGTTTTCTTATTCAAAAACGATGATTTGAAAAAATAGTCAAGTTAAACAATGAGAATTGAAGTTATGTATCATATACTCAAAATTTTTCATAGATTTGAAAAATAATATGCGTAAAAAGTAATAATAATTTATAATGATAAGTGACATTACTACTTGGATAAATTATGACAAAATTTAAACTGCATTTAAAACAAAATAAATACTTACATTTGATTGAAAATTTTTAAATAACAATTTCAAGTCAAATAAACACAAAGTAACAATTTTTAATCCAAATATTTTAAAATACATGTTAAGGTGAAAATAAAATATTTGAAATAAAATGATTTTGATTAATTTCAGATATCATGATTTGTTGTTCTTAAAACGCTTATTTAAATTATTTTTATGAGTTATGTAAAAAATAAAATATCTATATATAAGATGATATTTATGAAAGTAT